CACCAAATCGAATTTTTTTTCGTAGAAACCACCACAGGGGTATTAGCATTAACTTCTCAAATTTGAATGACAAACGAATGAAATCTTTGATAATGCTTAAACAAACAAACCCACATATTCGTTTTTGGGGCGCGGGTTTGTCCACACTGCCGCCTAGACGCACCAAGGCTCACTGCATTGAGTGTACGTTAATCAACCTCTGTAATAGTGAGGTAGAAAACACATTGGCGACCGCCCGTGTGTTAGAGACGCGTCCCTTGGCGCTCCAGGGAGCCACTGGTTATATTTCCGCAGGGGCGCCCCTAATTCGGTTTAATTATAAAATGTCGTGTGCCACCGTGTCCCTATTGTAGGGTGCTCTTTAAGGAGGCACTCTCTGTAGAGCCCGGGGCGCTCGCTGTCGCCAACTGCCAGGGCGCCGGCGGGCGCTCATTATTCTACTTAGTGAACATTTATAGTAGCCCATCTAAACCGTAGTGTCGCCCGAGTTGGGTCTTGGCTGCTCTGGGCCACTCAACCGCCGGGGAGCTGGCGGATGAACCTGGTGTAGTTTTATCACTGAATCTCAGAGGCGTAGCACCATTCCTGGCGCCTGGGGACAAATTTTCAATTTGGCGCCCCCCCCCCACTCCCGCCGGAGACAAACTTTCAATTTGGTGCCCCATTCCCGTATTTTTTAAATATTTATTATGCAAAACTATAGCTAAAATTAGCTTTTAAATTTTTCCAACCATTTTGGCGCCCCTAGGGTTGGCGCCCGGGGACATATGTACCCCCCGCCCCCCTCGCTGCGCCTCTGCTGAATCTAGTATTACCTATGACCGCAATTGATGAGATAGCCCCTCTGGATTCCCCTCTGGATTCTGAGCTCATAATCGTATAATTAGAAAAAATCGAACCCTCCCAGGGTGCCACACTTAAGAATTTTTTTCTTTCTCGAAACCCTTTTCACCAACTACCCAAAATTTTATGACTCTCGTACGAACAGTGTCAAATTGCATCTGGCTTTTATTTTTATGGAGAAAAATTGCATTGCTTCCTGTCAGAGACCCCAGATCGAATGGGGCGCCAAAAGGGGTAGACAATTTTTTAAAAAATCCTCATTCTTCAGTAAAATTTAAGAAAACAGATTTATACATGGCTGATATCCTCAATTATTTTATATAGGGGAGTGTATGTAGGGATGGGCGCCTTTTTGCCAGCGTTTGAATAGGGTTGGCACATAATTGATAGTTCGCCCCGGCTGCCGGAATAGGTTGCTACGCTTCTGCTTCCTGCTAGGGTGCCGCCCTGGCGAAATCTTTCCGGGGGGGGGGGCGTGCGGACACTGTTAAAAGTATTTTTTTCTATATAAATTCCGTTTCGTTCGGGGGAGGGGGGGGTCGATAGACTTTCTTCGGGGGGTGGGGGGCTCTGCTTCCCCCCCCCCCCTCCGAATAGATTCTTCCTGGAAAAAACTCTGTTCACAAAGTTTTATGGCGATCCGATGAAAAAGATGTAGTAATTCATATAGGACAAACAGATAAACATACTTTCATTTCTATAAATATAAATAGATATATAGGGCCTACTTTAACTAGTGTCAGCATACCCGCACCCGGAAACTTAGTCACAATTTTCTTTGTTACATTTGAACCCTTTAGGTTAATCAATATTAACAAAATTGAACAAGATGCAACAAATACAGTTAACCAAGAAATTGAATAAATAAAATTCACGTTATCTTTTTATTGTTTTTAGATATAGAGTAGTAACAGACTACCTACAGGACCTAACTCGCGACGAGGTACACATTTGTATTAAAACACACATCTAAGACATTTTCTATTTAGGTGGGTTTTGCAGTGCAGTGGTTTCTTAAGTCGTGGACAAGTGATTGCGCTTATCTCTGTTGAGTAGCTATGTATTCTGTCCTATATTAGACACATTGGTAAATATCTGTCACAATATGGGCATAGAGATGATATAACGATAGCTTATCTTTGCGGACGACGCTAAACTTTGGCATCGACACCACGGCCTACAAGTTCAAATTCGGTCCTTCAGAAATGTTTGAAGTCTCTAGATTAAAACTACTTTTCTCTTTTATATACCTACTGACCACATCACATGCATTTGTTCTGAAAGTCTAAAAACAGAGGCACAAATATATCGTCTAGACTTGTGAGGTCTACAGATTAGGTATTTTGGCAGTTATCTAAGCGGTAAACGGAAAAAAGTCACAGGAAAAAAAAACACAGAAAAAAAGTCACAGTTTTTGCTAGGAAAAAAAGTCACAGAAAAAAGTCACAGTGGAAAAATTTTATCGGAAAAAAAGTCACAGAAATAAAGTCACAGAAAAAAAGTCACAAAAATCTTTTTAGAAATATTTTTATTAATTTGTTAAGAATTGTAAATTTTGTATGTTTATTGTTGTGGGTTGTATTTTTTGATAGCATAATTTATTTATAGACGTTAAAAGCATTATGATTTATAACAATTGTAAGTAAAAATACTCTAAGATAATTAACACAACAATCTCAACTTTTGTTAAGTATTTAGTTAAATACGCGGTAGAAAAGTTAATTATAGAAGAAATTTAGGCACATTTTTTTGCCGTAGGCTATTCTCTGGTCGGCCTCTCCTCAGTAGGCATTGTCCGAACATATTTTGTGTTGTTGACGTTATGCGTCAATGACAGCCTTTGAACCTTGTCGGCTTTCTGTTTTGATTCTAAGTTTTGTTATGTAATGAGCGTGATAAATGTGGGCAGTAAAGGTGGTTGAACTAAACATAACTATTGTTGCCATGAGTTGAGGGCAGCAAGTCAGACGAACTTACCATTTCACGGTAATTTAATATTGATATTTAAAAAAAAACACGATGAAAAACGTGACTTTGGAGCATTCTATTAAATGCTACTAATCTTAAGTTTAAAATAATTACAATCTACATACTTCATAATAAATATTTTAAGATGAATTATAAAAATTCCTATACGTATACAGCCTACACACATTACATTACATTTAATTAATCCTAAGTTAATTAGCACTCTCTGAATATTTAATACATAAAAGTATTAACAAATATCATGCAAATATATATTTGTGACTTTTTTTCCTGTGACTTTTTTTCCTGTGACTTTTTTTCTGTGTTTTTTTTTCCTGTGTTTTTTTTTTCCTGTGACTTTTTTTCCTACAATCATCTAAGCCCTTGCCTGTTCTGACTCAAAGCCTTATTCTTTCTCTATCGACGCCTTGCGTAACATGGGATTGGGTTTTTAAGGCGGCATAAAGCTTTATGTTGTTCCTTTTTGAGTACACTAGATTAAAAACTAACGTTTTCAGATGCCTAAAGATGTTTAACCACTAATTAATCAGAATAATGGGTCAAGATTTCAATTCTTGGTTTTGGGACATGTTAGTTGCCGGGGTTGAGCTAATGTCGATAGCATAAGGACTGTACCTTGATGCGGGCGTTTTATTTGTTGCCCATCGTAATAATTGAATGGTTGATGGGGCTTCTTCAAGGGTTTGATTTGCCGTAATGTTAATGATATCATGCATGTGCGGCTTTTCTAAGAAGAAAATGCGTTTAAACACTTTTTAGTTATGCTTTTTTTAAATAGGCCTATATTTTACGACATCATAATCGTAATGAACAATAAAATGAATTTAAACAACTTTAGAATACACCTGTTTCGGCTAACATGAATGTTATTCTTCAAACTAGTAATGTTAAACGTGTCTTTTTCGCATTTTCGACTTATAAGCAATACAGTAAATTCCGATAACGTCCATATGCATACAAGCAATGGCGTAGGCGAGGAGGGGTTTAATAGTGATTTAATAATGATACTTTCTTAACCCTCTACTGGACATCATGTTTGGTACCTTGCCCCCGGCAACTGGGTGGATTTGGATTACACCCAAGTTTTACTTCATAGTAAATGGCTTCAGTTTTAATTATTGGAGTTGGTAGCAACATTGACACAGTTGAAGGTATTCAGAACAAGGTGGCCAGGAGAAATCACATTAATTAGTATATAATTTACCATTACTAACAATAGGCCCTACTTAATTGTTTAATGTTGCTGGATATTAAGCCTGGTAGGTATTTATGTTTATTAATTTGTACAGAAACAAAAAAAGGATTCCCAAACAAAGTTTTATTTTTCAGAAATAAAGAAAATTATACAAATCAATAAAGAACAGTTTTCAAAAGAATTTGTATAAAAGTAATTATTATAAAATAAGAATATAGCATTGCATAGATAAAAATAAAATACTTGACACAAACAATATGAGGAATATTTTGTATCAGAGAAGAGAAAAATATATGATGTAGTTTGGAAATAATAATGTACAGAATGTAGCTTTTGCAGATTAAAATGAAAATTCTCATGCCTATATAATTTATTGAGTAAATGAAGCAAGACCCAAAACAATAGGCTAAATAATATGCATGGGACAGGCATTGAAAACTACAAATTGCATATAGTGAAGGTTACCCTATTTATTGGCTATATCCACAGTAAAGATGTATGGCTTTATTACCTGCTTGTAAAATTGTTAAGGAAAAAGTAAACTATTGTTAACTTTTTATGGCAGACCAACTACGGGCTGTGTTCTGGGAACATGTCATCTGTAAGGGGCATTGTTCTCGGCACATGTTGTCATTTTTTGTGTTCTCGGCACATGTTGCCATTTTGTGTGTTCTGGGAACATGTTGCCATTTTGTGTGTTCTGGGAACATGTTGACATTATGTGGCTGTGTTCTGGGAACATGTTGACATTATGTGGCTGTGTTCTGGGAACATGTTGACATTATGTGGCTGTGTTCTGGGAACATGTTGACATTATGTGGCTGTGTTCTGGGAACATGTTGACATTATGTGGCTGTGTTCTGGGAACATGTTGACATTATGTGGCTGTGTTCTGGGAACATGTTGACATTATGTGGCTGTGTTCTGGGAACATGTTGACATTATGTAGCTGTGTTCTGGGAACATGTTGACATTATGTGGCTGTGTTCTGGGAACATGTTGACATTATGTGGCTGTGTTCTGGGAACATGTTGACATTATGTGGCTGTGTTCTGGGAACATGTTGACATTATGTGGCTGTGTTCTGGGAACATGTTTGTTTCATTTTAAATATTATAATAAAACATTTTTAGAAATTCTATATTAGGAATTGTGTATATATATAAATGTATATATTTAATAAGACAATTGGATGAATTATAATAAACAGCAAAAATGATTCAAATAAGTTTAGAAGTATTTGGCTTGCTGTCCTAACAGTGAACTGTATTGCGAGCTTGTTTCCCTAGTGATAACCCATGTTTTTTGTGCGACCCTTCCAATCAAGTATCCAGCTTTTTCTTGGCCTGTATCAAAATGCTGGTCAGACTAGCTTGACTTGTGTATCACAATATGATTTTGAATGTTTTTCTGTAAATGAAATAAAGGCAAAATATGTTGATACTTTCTTTTGTGGAACCAGCAAAAGAAATAAATTACAAATTTATATTACTATCTCTACTATTTCTTAACTATAACTAATTACTTTGAAAAGATAAAGCACTGAACATGATGAATAACAAGAAACAAACATGATCAGCAAAGATAATTATAGATTTAAAATTTTGCTATTCATATTAAAGATTAATGAAGTAGACTATCAATATTTACCCTCTTGATGGCTGATACTTTGATTTGATGTCTTTACTTTAAGCTTACACATCAGTCTCTGTGTGGTAAAATATGAAATAATATGCTTCAATAAAACTGTTTCAGTATATTAATTATATTAGATAAGTACATAGTTTTGAGCTCTATAACAATATGTGTTTCAATTATCATTCAAATATAATACCCTCTATGTTGTACAACTCACTGATTTATTAGAATTTAAAAAAAGACAATAATTAATAAAATATTTTGGATTAAAATCCATTATATTTATTATAACATACAATGCTATCTCTTGCTATAATAATTACTTTAAAAAATGGGTTATGCCTATAGTACAGTTACCTGAGGATGAAACTAGGCACAGTGTATAGTCCACGGAGACTGATTAATATCCCTTGTAATTGAACATCAGTTGTAGTTATGAAATCTGGATGGCCAAACACACACTCATAGTCCTGAAAAGCAATTTACACATAGATTAGCAAGAATATCTCACAAATTATTGAATTAAAGCTAACCCCTATTTAGTGCAATCCATCAAAGTAGTAGCATTTTTCGTTAAGTTGTAGACACAATACAAAGTAATGTTTGGTCTGTGATTTACATACTTTTATAAAATAGCAATCAAATTATATATATATATATATATATATATATATATATATATATATATATATATATATATATATATATATATATATATATATATATATATATATATTCATTGTAAATTTTAGCTATGTCTTGCTATTAAATTTATTTACTCGACTGATCTAAACTCACTTTATTTAAACATAATATAGTGGATAAGTATAGTGATTTTATTATTCAGCAATAAATAGCAGGCCTAAAAAAAAATTAAATAGTAACGTTTGCGAATGAACACATTAAATGCTATGTATTTCCATTTCTATGTCTTTCCCAACTTGATGCATATTACTAACCAAGCATTAAACTATAGTCCTAAACCTGATTCTAATTACCATTTATTGGACAACCTGAACCTTTGCGATACCATGTTATAATATATTATTTTAAAGAGCTTACCACTAATTACTAAAATCAATTGTTTTTAGTATTAACTGAGCCGCATACTATCTGCTGCTATTGTCATCACCAGAAATCGAGTATGTTGGCAAAGATTAGTCTCTAAGTTCCCTGCAACCTCTTTCCTCTCGAGTGCGGAAAACACTGAAATCATTAATCATTATTTCATTATGCCTAATAGTTTAAAGGTCGTATTAAAGTAGTACTAAATAGTACGAGTCTAAGTTACAATAGGTATAATGATAATTATTATTGTGCATGCTTACATGCTTTAAGTTTTATGCACAATATTGGTATAATATATAGTCTATAGTATATATAGCCTAAGCTATAGAGTATACAGGCCTATGAGCCTAAATATAACAGCAGCTTGAATAATGCTCATTAGCATGCATTCACTATAAACTATAAAGATAATCAAATATTTCAATTTAATTAAATTATAACTAATAGGCCTAATAGTAAATAGGCTTTTTTCTTGTGGCAACAAATTTAAAGTATAGGGCAGTACAGTTATAGTATAGGCCTACTAGATTCTATATTTAGGCCTAAGTATGTGGGCTTTTCATTCCAATGCACCACAATAGATACCAAACATGATCAAGCTGGACCTCTGATCTAAAGATTTAATAATTGGGCCTAACAAACAGTGAAACTACAATAAAAATCATGTAAATTACTAATTTAACCTTCTTACCTCCGCTTCTCTAGATTCCTATTCTATTTCCTTCAAACTTTCTTTTTATGCAGCCGTATGATTAGATTCTAGACTATATTCTAATAAACATGAAATAACTACTAACCAGAACACTAGATCTAAATTTCTATATTCTAAGCAATATGTATTAAACCTATAGGCCTAATATTTATTTTAAATTCCTATGCGATGTGTCGTGAACTGTAGGTTTCATGTTATTTTTTTAATGGCGGAAATCAGTTTAAAATTTCGTTTCCTTCCTTTTGTTATTCTATTTATAGATTCAAACTGCTTAGAGACGGAGCAATTATCATTGAGTTAGTCGTCTGATCCACACAGGAAGTGCGTGTATATCTATTTGTTACTCAGTGATCTGATCATTGACAAAAACAGAGATAGCCATTCGCATGGGGTGGAGAGAGAGAGAGAGAGAGAGAGAGAGAGAGAGAGAGAGAGAGAGAGAGAGATGAAAACTACTGATTTATATGTTTAGAATTATATGTTTGCTATGTTTGTCTGCAAAAATTTGGCATAAATACTTAAGGTAATAATATTTATTATTTTTTAGAACTGTAGGTTAGTTTTTAGACCATCGCAGTTATTTTTTATTAAAATTTTTAATGTTCGAAGGGAGACAACCGCGTTAATTTTTTTTGCAAAACAATCATTGCATGCTTAATTCCTTTTATTGTTTCAAAAATATTACATCGACGGTGTAATAAAAATCATTTTAGCGCATTACATTTTACTTAGGGTTTAAGCCAGTGGTCAGTAGTAAGACTTAGGGTTAGGTGTTGTGGTTAGTTTAAGGTAAAAACAGTGGCGTAGCGAGGTCGGGTGTCACCTGGTGCGGCACCAAATGTTGTCACCCCCCCCCCCCCCGTAAGAAAACAAACTATAGATATATCTCAATATCTCAATATCTCAATATCTCAATATATATATATATATATATATATATATATATATATATATATATATATATATATATATAAATATATATATATATATATATATATATATATATATATATATATATATATATATACATACATACATATATAGATATATATATATATATATATTTATATATATATATATATATATGTATATATATATATATATATATATATATATATATATATATATATATATATATATATATATACATATATATATATATATATATATATATATATATATATATATATATAATATATATATATATATATATATATATATATATATTTATATATATTCCACATACACTTGTAAGTATGTGTATATACATGTATATATGTATTCAAATATGTTTTTTCTTCTGGATGTATTTGATTTTTCACACCCCCCATACATGGATTAACATTGGTTATTACGATTCTCAACCAACCCGTTTCCCGAAGGCGTATATATTGCAACTCCCCCCTCCCCCCGTCACCGCAACGGTGATTGCTTTAAATTGTGCTCAGATAATACTAACGATTTGTATCTATATTCCGTTATAAATTCAGCTGGATGATGCATGATTTCTTTATCATTAGCAGGTTTACGTCATGGTGTCACCCCCCCCCCCCTTCAACTTGTGTCGGAATTTGTCCACTTTGCTCACAAAAGACTATTTAATTCACTCTAATTAATCATTTCATTAAGTGAAATTATCATTTTTCTGTATATATTTTGCTCTTTTTTGCCTAGGTGTCACCCCCCCCCTAAATGTTGTCACCCGGTGCGGTCCGCACACACCGCCCTCCCCTCGCTACGCCCCTAGTTATATATATATATATATATATATATATATATATATATATATATATATATATATATATATATATATATATATATATATATATATATATACGTACATATATAAGGGTGGTCCTTATTTTTGAAATTTTGATTTCCTACGGGTCAACTTCCAATTTGAGTTCCATGCATGAAAAAAAAAAGTTAACATAGTGTTCAGAGCCTGAAGACTAAGCATTATCCTCTAGATTCAGCACACATATAGTTAAATATATTAAACTGCCTATATTTTTAAAACATAGTAAGGATTACATAAATGTTTTTAAAATTACAAACATGACAAGAAAACAATTGTTCCTACAACCTTTATTTTTTAAAAATAAACCAATATTTTGCATCAATATTAATTTAATTTTCTACTTTTCAAATCTTCGAATTCCTTAACACATACCATACAGTGTTTCATTAGTCACTACCTATATATCTTGTTGCCATCTGTGAAACATCAGCTATTGCAAGGTCGTGCTCATTTAGATGACGGGAAGGGATGAATGTGGTTGCCATTTGCCACGATCTTTCTTACCCAACCACGCCGTGTATTACACCATCAACATGTATTTTAAGCTATATTACACAACCCAGATTTGTTTTTATTTCAGTCTAACTTAATGATATTAAAAAAAAATAAACATACAAACACCTAGAAAACAAATAACAAAAGTTTGTAAATTTTGAAAATTACATTTTCTTAAAATTAGGATTGTATTAATAAGTTCTATGAGTGTGTCTGCAAAACTAACAAAATGTGCTGATATCAGAAACAAAGTTTCACTTTAAAACACATATATTGCGATTTCGGTAGGTGTGTATCCGTGTGTATTGTATGTCTGGGAGTGTTTGTATCTATGTGCGTGTACTATGTAGAGAAAATATAAATTTTCCTATTAACGAAACTTTACCATAAAATGCAAGAAATCGTAAGAAACGCAAAATTTAGTTCATCTAATCAGCTTGACTAAACATTACACTATAACTTATCCACAATTAAAAACTACCATGTGTACCAATAAATAATAATACATTAGGCCTAAGCTACTCATAATAAAATCATAATACCATGGGTTACACACAATGAAATGCATATTAGGTTTATGAAAAGATAAACATTAAATATTTAAGGAAAATAAATTGCATGTAATATGCTTTTGTAAAGCCCAATAATCCTCTCATGACATCAATATTTTTTCTACTTTGACTTCCCTATAAAAACCTAGACGGTTGTAACAGTTCATTCCGTGGTACCATGTATTTTTGAAGTAGTCATCTATCAAAATCTGAAATTGAATATTTCATTTCGTCAACATTTAAACATTAAAAATGATGCGTATATATATACTAGAATACACGTTATCATTAGATAACTGTGGGTTTCGGGGGTCACCATAAATGACATCACGTCTGTCACTTATCATAACAAAAAAACCAGACTCCACGTCATTCAAAAAGGCGTCACACCTCAGACGTTTTTGTCTTTTAACAACACTGACTTCGTCTGAGCATGGGTCTGACAACAAAATATTTTCATATGCTGAGGTTACAAAAACAGGTTAACTCTACTTCACCTGCACAGTGTCATCCCAACTCAGACATGTTTTGGTCTGTGAAAACACTGATTTTGGCTGAGCGTGGGTCTGACCACACTATCTCTTCATATGGTGTCGTCACAGGTGAACTTTAAACCTACCCAACACTACTTCACCTGCCCAGTGTTCCGCCAAGTCTCAGACAACATGTTTTATTTAAAAAAAAAAAAAAGATTCCGGCCGAGCATGGCTCTGATCACACTATCAACGTTATATACTGAGGACAAAGAAACAGGTGAACACTACTTCACCTGCCCTGTATCCGGCTAAGTTCCTATAGGAAAAGGCAACATTATTATTCACAAATAAAAACAAAAAAAAAAACAATTTAAAAAAACCAAACAAAAAACACAGACATGTCTGGACCCATGCCACCCGCAGGGTAACCTAATGTGCTAACCTCTTAGCTATCTAGGCTCGTACTCTGGAGAAGTTAATAACTTATATATTTTACTTCTAAGCAGTGTAAGAATCTAGACATATTTCTGTAGATCTATAGAAATGTATTGTATAATAAAATAAAAAGAACTGTTAATAGTTGATAATAGTGTTGGAATGTAATAAAAACAGCAAACGGACGTCTTTTAAAGTCACAGCCGACAGAAAATTAGCTTTAGAACGCGTTAAACTTTTGAATGGGCCACAAAGTCTATGATGGAAACCGCCATTTTATTGTATTAAAAAGTAAACAAATCATGTGACGTCACTATTCAGTCAAAGTAAAGCCATTGTTTTAAAATTTTAAAATTAATGTGGTTAATCTACCTATAAATAAATCAATAAATTAATTAACAAGAAAAATTGTTTTCTACCTAATTACTATTTTACATTTCTACACATAGCGCAGATTTTCTACAATAGTCAATCGGACAAACAAACAAATAAATATTCAAACATGTAAACAAACTTGAGTTTTAGTATATATATATATATATATATATATATATATATAAAGTTGATTTGTTATGTAATTTAAGGTGTGATATGCGTAATGGGTTATTTTTCTATTCCAAAAAAAGTTGTGTGATATGTATGTAAAATCATTGTATATATTTTTCACGAATTTTTGTATTTCTCATAAATATTTTTCAATATATAATAAGTTAAATGAAAACATTTTGTTTTGAACTATTATTTAAAAGTGCATGTTACATAATCACATAACTTTTGAAATGTATTAATGTAAATAAAATATGTTAAAAAAATTAATAGAAGAAAATAAATAATTGAAACCATAAGCAATAAAAAGCGAACAACAGATACATTTAACTGTTTGGCTTGAACATTGACACATTGTGACGCATTTTTTTAGTTGAACGATTTAAAACAATTATTTCAACATTGAATAAGCAAGCTTAAAACATAAATAGAAATATTTAATACCTAAACAAACTAAATCTCAAAAACAGCGCTTAACAAACAACGAAACTCGACCATACACCGACACAAGAACAAAAGGAAAAAGAAAGATAACCAAATGAAGATCGAAAGACCCCTAATGACACCAAAATCCTGTAACACTCAAAAATAGACAGCAAAAAAAAAACAGAAAAATAAAGATAGATACTGTATTTTCAGGAACATACATGGTAAAACTTTAAATCAATAATATTAAAATATTTGAATAAACATACATAAACTCTTGTTGGAAGCTCAAAATCTATTAAAAAGATAAATATATAAAACTAGTCAAAATTACCCAAGTGTAACCTGGGTTTGTTAACAACTGAAGTTTAAACTGATATCCCAGTTTGAAGTTAAATGCGTCGTAAATACTTTCCCTAGCCCAGACTCCGTTTTGAAAATGGTTAAGAACCACTCTTTTTAAAATACCAAAATGGTTGAATCTAATGTTTACGTGGGTGACAATGATAAAATTGTCTTCTTCATCGCAATCAGGCAGGCAATGAACGTTTACACTGAACCTGTAATAAAATCATTAACTGATGATGAAATCGTAAAATACGTGAAACAATTAAAATCTTTAGAAATGTAATAGATACATAATAACTGAGAATGCAGGATTTGATTATTATTGCATGTGCTAAGTCGTTATATCTGTTACAGATAATGTAATATTGTTTTACTCTGTAGTATCGTTGGTTGGGTATCCATAGACGACAATTTTTTCACCGCCAGGTCGTCTTTCAATCTTTACTGGACTTACCTATTTTAAAATACATGGATTAATTGTAAATGTTTTTTTTTATTAAAAAGCTGAAATAATATATGAGTATCATATAAAGCCAATAGATTATATTGTTTTAAATATTAATTCTTCTTATTCTTCTTAACTTTTAATGTTGGAATTGATTTCCTAGAACACTATTAAGTATTACGTGTAACTTCTTTTCTTTTTTGTATTTGCTTCTATTATCTCTGTCCAACCAAGAACAAACGACAATGCAGCAGTTGTTTGGTTTTGCCGTTATCTATCTTAGAAGAATTACTGTCCCCAGCTATCACGCCTCATCTGCCTGGGGGATCAAACTCGAGACTTTTTGATTTACCAACTCGACCAGGTCGACCCCGTTTAACTAATTATGTGTAATTTATTAATTTGTAATTCATAACTAAATAATTTAAATATGTTATCGTTTTAAACAAAATCCATCTATAATTGTTGTTGAAAAATGTTAAGGTTGTTAAAACATTTTTTAAAAACAAACATATAATACCATGTGTAGCAAGTAAATAGTTACACATACTGCTATTGGCGAGAAAGTAATTTGTTGGCATAATAAACATTACTCAGTTAATAACGCGAAAACAGTAAGTAGCCAACCAACGTCGATGGACCAACGTAATACAAAATAAAACGTAAATTTACTGGTAAACATGGGAAATCCGATCAGAATAACAGGAAATGCCAGGTATTCAAGACTCAGTATGTCTTGGTATATAGAGAGCATGAGATTAGGAAGCAGAAATAACGTGGGGACGGAGATATTTGAGGCGATAGATGAAGCATCCGGAAAATCAAACCATGGTAATCTAACGTAGACTGTGATGTCCATAACATAAGACCATTAGAATCGAGGACTAACGAGTTTGAAGTGAGAGCAACAACAGGTTTCGCTTACAGACGCAAATGACGATTGAGCAAATTGTATTATTATGCAAAGATTGAGAAATGAAAAGTGTGCACGGACTAATGGCATTAGACATCAGTTGATTTTAGTGATATTATTGAACAATAGGATTCAATGAAATATTAATACGGAGAATAAATCGAACCGACATTAATTGTGATTATTTGATTTGATAAACTAGTGAAAATATAGTATGCCAAGGCTAGCGTATAAATACCTAGACAAGGGCGAAAAACAAACGACACAAGTCTCACACACTCTGTCACATATGTTAACACTTAGCAAAAAAAACATATCTCACATACTAAACATGTATATACTTACGGGGTTTAAAATCTGTAATAAAGATAGTTATGCAAACAATATTTTAAAGAACCAAAAATACAATTATTATTTTCGACAAACTTTTCTTAAATATATTCTAAATAAGAATGAATGCCTATATACACAAACACACGCACTCACGCATGCACCCACCCATAAACAAACACACACACTCACACACACAGACACACAGTGACAGAGGCGTAGCGACCCTTCTCGGCGCCCGGGGACATACTTTCAATATGGCGCCCCCTTGGGAGCAAATTTTCTATTTGCACCCCCCCCCTCAAACTTTCGATGTGCACCCCCCCCCCTCGAACTTTTCATTTGCACCCCTCCCCTCAAACTTTCAATTTGGCGCCCCCCCCCCTAAGGTCGGCGCCCGGGGACATATGTCCCCCCCCCCCCCGCCCCCCCCCTCGCTACGCTTCTGCACAGTGACACAGACATAAAGACACACCGACACACAGACAGGTGAATATATATATATATATATATATATATATATATATATATATATATATATATATATATATATAATATTAGCATACGCGTCAGTGCTGTTGTACAATGCAATATTTAAGATGATTTTATCAATGTGTTAACACTGGTGTATTTTTGGATAATTGACTTTTGCAACAACAAAAGTCTTATATGTAAAGAACGCTGGCGCTTTATTTCTTGGATCTTAGTTATTATATCGCAGGCTTGTCCAGACACCCCGGGGTGTGTTGTCTGAAGGCAAATCACTTTCTGTAATAGTGAATTAAAAACACAAACCAGCGACCCTTACGGTAGCAGTGGCGGGGATGTGGACATCGCAATCGTTGGAACATATTTTAATTTTTTATATAGCAGTAAAAAAAAGTAAGATGTACCTACAACTTTGAATACATACATAAAATTAAACCAACACTTTGAAATTGTGTTCATATTACAAAGGAATGATTATTTTCGACAAAAAGAACACTATAAAAATTAATATTTTCATGACAAATGAAATTGCTTTGTTATTTTTCTTATAAGATTTACAAAATCAAGTGACAGCCCGCATTAAATCGGACCTTGAACTGTACAGACACATTCAAAAATGGTAGTAGATAAAAATAAACTTGACTTAAATACCATGTTATACATTGTTGTTATCTGATATGCGTAAGTATATCGCCTTGAAAAAATCGTTTGAACACTTACTGAAAAGAGAATCCAATTAATATCAACGTTGCCAAAAACCTGAACATACTTGAAAGCGTCAAAAGTTAAATGGTTTGGGTACGTAGCAAATAATTCTTCGTTTATAACAATCTGAAAATGTAACTGAATTGTCATTCTATTTTAAATCGTAAGAAATATTGTGATGATTATGCACAATATATTATATCAAGTTGCATTGATCAAGCTGCAGCTGGTTTAAGTATTTAGTGCAATAGTCTAACATTAGCTAAAGCAGAATACAATATACATATCCTGTAATTTTCAATTCCTAAGTTGTATTTGAAAACAAGAAACAGGTAATTTGAAGTAACGCAAAATATTTCGAATGTACACAAATGTTAAAATTACATAACTACCTATATATATATATATATATATATATATATATATATATATATATATATATATAGATAGATAGATAGATAGATAGATAGATAGATAGATAGATAGATACCTGAAACTCAGAGTCTGTAATTATGATCTTTAGTACAAATGCGTATCCTTTCATTAAGGTTAGACCGGTGTACTTATCAAATTGTTTCTTTTGGCCATTGAAGTTGGACGAACTAACCAATGTTTTGTCTTGCAAATCAACACACATCTCGAAGGGCAAACGTGAATCACACCAATCTGATTGGCACAGTCTAACAGTGAAGCTGTTAATATATGCAGAAAAAAAGTTTAAAAAAAATATTATTTAGATTAATTCCTCATGTTTGGAATAATATGTAAAAAAGCTAATTATTAAGCATTAAATAAAATTAAAATGTCATACATTCAATTATCCTATAATAGTATATAAGTATTTTTAAGTAATACAATTTATTACGATACAATAGTACTTTTGTCTTTATTTGTGCTTCGCGTTTAAACTTACATTATAATCAAATAATGTAAATTTTTATCCTAACTAACAAAAAAAACACGATATAATAATGATATTTATAATGCTTATAATGCTTTTTATATTTTGTCTTATGCTTAACCATATATTTATTTACTATTTCTATTGGTTTCCAATACTATCGATTGTCAAGTGTGTTATTTTTATCATGTTTAAAATAACATGCTGAACAAGACTGCCTTATTTTTTAAAGTTCTTAAACAAGGCGATTAAAATGTCATGCATGGATAAAATAATAAGGTTTATTTTTTTTTTATTCTGAGGTTTATTAGTTTGCTTTATTGATAGTAACACTATTCAAATATTCTATTAATTGGTAAACGGGGTAAGAATAAGTTAAACTACAAAAAGGTATTTGTCGTGTCCTTGTAGGAGGGGTGAGATTATGTTTTGAAGAGTTAGTGGAATACGGTTGGAGTGAATATACTCAGTCAGCGTATTCTGTGGTGTAGTCAAGTTAGGTGAAGCTCGGTCGTCTAGTAAAAACAAATTTAAAAAACTAAAACACACATTTTACCAAACCAATTTACTAGGCTTTTAGTCAGCAATTTAAAAACTACTTCAGGTTTGGAAGAGTTAGTGGAAAAAGTTTTGATTGAATTCACTAGGTCAACGTATACAGTGTCGTAGGTCAGTTGACAAACAATTTACTTGGTTGAAGCTCAGTCGTCTAGGAAAAACTAAAAGAAAATCTTAAACACAAATTTTACCAAACAGATTTACTAGGCTTCTAGTTAGCAATTTAAAACTACTTTTAAAAATGTAAACGTAACAGTGTTACAATATATTGCAACTTACTCATTTCCTCGAACAAAGCCTTCGATAACTATCTCCTTTCCTGAGTACATCGGAAAAAGAATTTCCCCAACATATGGCAACCGATACTGTAATAAAATGTGCTTCAATTATCTAAAAAAAATATGAATGTTCTTTAATTCATAATTAAAATATAACGTTTTTTTTTAAAGTCGATCTCACGTAATTTGAGTTCACGATCACAACCACACTGCCTGACTGCCAAGTCGCAAACTAATTGTTAGCTTGAAAAACTGAGCCGTAATAAGCATAGTGAATAGTATTCATCTACTTTCATTTTTATATATTTCCGATTATTATAACAAAAGATTATGTGTGAAAAAGCGAAAGTATATATATATATATATATATATATATATATATATATATATATATATATATATATATATATATATATATATATATATATATATATATATATATATATATATATATATATATATATATATATATAGTATTCATCTACTTTCATTTTTATATATTTCCGATTATTATAACAAAAGATTATGTGTGAAAAAGCGAAAGTATATATATATATATATATATATATATATATATATATATATATATATATATATATGTAATACCACACGTTCACAAGAACATGTAGCATAGTACATTTATACAGTAAAGTAAAGTATTTAAAGTATTTTAAATTCGTATGTAAATTGACAAAAAAGCACACATTTCCATAGCTTTTTTACTGTACCTTTAATTTTGCTTGTTTTTTTTTACAAAGGGATATAATTCAGTATAAGAAGAATATCAGGTTTAACGTGGTTATTTACATGGATGGCAAAATAGAAATAATAATCATTAAAAAAGTTTTAAAAAACCCACGTTTTCTGATTGAACTAAAAAGTAGAAAATAAATACTATACATCACAATAATGCAAGCGATCACTCTACTATAAGCGATGAAAAACGTGGGGCGCCGAAGTAAAAGTTATATTACTATTGATTAGATAATACTATTGACTTTTATTAGGGAGCTTGTAGAGAGTCAACAGTATTAGAAACTGTAAGAAAATCACGGCGCCCCACGTTTTTGCTCGCTTATAGTAGAGTGATCGCTTGCATTATTGTGATGTATAGTATTTATTTTCTACTTTTTAGTTCAATCAGAAAACGTGGGTTTTTTAAAACTTTTTTAATGATTATTATTTTCTACTTTTTAGTCTTTGTCTGTTTGTTTGCATTAAAATCTTGCTATCGATTTTATCTTTTCACTTTTTTTTGGGTAAACGAAGACAACTCGTAAAAAGACAACTCGTAAAAAGACAACTCGTAAAAAGACAACTCGTAAAAAGACAACTCGTAAAAAGACAACTCGTAAAAAGACAACTCGTAAAAAGACAACTCGTAAAAAACACGTTGTTTGAATACGTTACTGACTAGAACACATAGATTTGAACCCGTGTCGAGTGGGATAGCAATCGTGTGCCCAACCACTCGACCATATCGTCTCCCCCAAACTGGCCTACCTCCTGTAAGTTTAAACTCGGTTCAAGCTAAATTACCTGCCCCTAAGCCTGTGGCGACATGTGATCGTTCGCTTCACTGCGCGCGAGGTACGCGTCGCTGGTTTTTTTTCTAATGGCTAGCAGAGGAGAATTATATATATAGATTATATAGCGGTCTAAAATGCTCAATAAAATGTTTCCATTGATCAATTTAGTAATAATAACAATTGAATATTCAATGGTCATCCAAAAGAAAGCTTCCCTGAAAATTTCAGCGCGCTAGCTATCTGGGAAGTGCCAGAAATTTCGATCGCAAGATTTGATTGGAAAGACAAACAAACAGAGAAAGCAAGTTAAAGAAAACGTGGGAAAATAGTTAATCGAGTGTGAGTTTTCTGCACTATTTTATGGTTCTGAGAGAATTTTCAATGACTATCCAAACACAATTTCTATCTTCAAGTTGTAATATTTTCACGTGAAAACAAATAAATCATTTTTTTTACAAAATAGCTACCTAGTTGCAAGTGAAACAATTTTTTTGTTTTGCAAGCTGCATTTTTAAATATTAGGATTTTTCCTCCACCAACCCCATATATTGGGGTCTTGCGGCATAGTAGTTCTGTCCCTGATAAACTGTATTTATTAAATATCTAATGGTAAGGAAGGCATTTATCTTCTTTCATGTTTTTCCTACTGCATTGGTTATTATGTTAAGGTATTAATAGATTAACGGTTACGATTATTTAAATTATTTTCTGAATAGTTGGTGAAGAGTGTGACACTAATGTCATTTTAAGGATCAATATGTATGCGATGTTTTCTTTCAAAACCCTGTTTAAATTTCGGAATCAAATTATTTAATATAATAATTGTTAATTATTGCTTACGTAGACAATTATCATTAGGTCAATCATATTAAAGCTACGGTTTTTTAAATTTTATTTCACCATGAAAAACACATCATAAATACAACCGTTTGGATAATACAATGATATAAGCGTCTTTGTTTTTATCAATAACGCTTCTGATGACGAGGTTAAGTTAAGCGAGGTGGGCGTATTAATAATAAACTTGATATGACAATACTTTGTTGCTTACAGTTTCACATCACGTTAAATACGCGAAAACCACGGTGTGGGGCGGATGGGTGTGGTTTGGTTTTCTCCTTGTGCGTGATACATGTGTGTGTGTAGAAGTTATCTTTATGGTGTAAAATGAATGAAGAGGTGGTTTGATGTGGCTAGGAAAATGGGATATTGGGTTGCGGTTGGTTTTTGAGTTCGGTGCGGGGCAGGATGGTTATGGGTTTTGTTCTGATTGTTGTTCATGTGTTGTGAGGGATGTGTGTAAAGTTGTGTGGTTTGAGCTGTAGGTTGGGTTTTTTTTCTTTCGAGTGTAGTGAGATGTGTGTGTGGCGTGGAGTAGGATGTGGTGTATTGGGGATGGTGTAAGATAGGTAATTAGGTGTAGATTATGTGATGAGTGGTTTTAGGTGTTAGTTGTGCTTTGTAAGGTAGTTGGATGTGGGTCGTGGACTGTTAATTTTAAATTATATTGTAGCGTGTAGGGATTTTGTGGGGTGAGGTGTGCAATGGTGTGGTTCAGGTTGTTGAGTGGGTCTCTGAACGTGTGGTGACATGTGAATTTAGTTTTCGTGGGGTTTACTTTTTACTGTCGTGTATAATGTTGTGCTGTGTTAGGGTGTATTTGTTAGTGTTGTGGTTTTTGCGTTCATCTACTCTATGTGTTGTGTTTTTTTTTTGTATGGGGGTTGGCGTATGTTGAATGATGCGTATGACATACGTATAAGTAATTAGGTTTGTATTGTAGGGGGGGTTAGTGGGGTGAGCTTTGTGGTATGGTGGGATATGTCATACTGGTGAGGAGAAGTGGTAAGGGTGTGTGGTTTTATTTGAGGTTCTTTGTGTTGTGAGGGTTTGGGTTGCGATTTATTTAACCCCACTACCTTTATCTTCACCTGTTTTATCATTTGAATATCTGATTAAGTAAAATTCATATTTGATCGAAGAGAAGTTTAGTATCATTAATTTCTATCATCCAATCGATTAATTGCAGATGTTAACACCGTCTGAACCTTACTCCCCTTTTATCATAGACTGACACATAATTTTGAACCCCTTAGTCTAAGAGAGCTGCATTGTTTATAGACGACCCATGTACTATTATATGCGGAGGGGTCTATTTTAAATTAATTGCACAAAAGGCGAACTATTACCCAAAAAGAAAATAAAAACCTAATAGAGGAACAAAAAGTAACATAAAAATTAATGCTATAAGAAAGACAAAACTTTAATAAACAAATTTTAAAATATTAAAAAAATATGAAAGCCACGAGTAATAACCTGTTTCGATATGAGATAAAATTGTGTGTGTTAAAATTATAATAATTAAAGTTCTAAGATG